TTGCAGAGAAGTGTAAGATGAATCAATTAATTGAAGGTAAAAAGTCAAATTTTGCAGTCAAAAAGTGGCTACCGGGCTCATAACTATTGGGTTGAAAGGGTATTGGGTACTGAAGGTCATGGAGAATTGATTGCATTGTAAAAGGTAGCTATCTAAGGTGTTTATATAAAGAGTGTAAGCTTTAGGCAGACATGAAGCATTTAGGCAGCAGAGCTATAAGTGGATCAAATCAGGAAGTGGAGCAAAAGAGAAAGTAGACCCAGCACAACACTATAATACGTTATTATATTAAACTTAAGTTATAGTATAAGTAAAATAATAGTATTAGTATACCTAAACTAATATAAGTTAGATAAAAAGGCTAAGTTATAAGTTATAAAAATTTTGAAATAATTATTACTTTTCACTCCTTATAAACCTAGATAAAATAGAACAATTGATTTACATATTATTACTAGACTTGTAGTATGATTACTTTCGATAGCGTGTATAGAGTAATAACTAGGTATTCTATAATTACATGAAGTCACAGTAGTATATGAAGTCACAGTAGTACATAGTCACTAGAGTCTATGAAGTATGAACTAAGAGCTATTGATAATAGATCATCTGGTATTCTTTTGCTATCTACAAACTTCTTGTATCCCAGTCGTAAACGAATCGAAACTAGCTACCTAAATTGCTATTACAAACCATACTTGAAATTTCTATCGAGGATGTACAGGCGAATTGGCAAGTTCATAGGATAACCCATTGTAAGCTGCACTTATCGTAATATCTCGACATCATCATCCTCCGCATTATCATCCTCCGCATCATCATCTTCCGCATCATCATCCTGCGTATCATTATCCTGCGTATCATCATTCTCAACATCATCATTTTCCACGTCGTCATTCATATCCTCATCCTCTACATCATCCTCTGCATCCTCTAGATCCATGACCTGTGTCTCCTCTGCACCGCGGTTTTCTGTACCGATGTTTTCTGCACCGCCTTTTGTGCCCTTGTCTAACAGACCCCACTGGCTTAATTCATCTCGCCATTTCGCTACCTCATCTTCTTTACCATTGGAAATCTTGTACTTCACAAAACTCTCGATCAACTTCATCTCAATGCCAGCCTTCTTCATGTCCTGAGACAACCTACCCAAACTCTGCTCGCAAAGTATACGGGCACCGTGATATCTGCCAATTTTCTCCTGTAACCACGCAGCAGTTTTCCAAGACTCTCTACGTTGTCTTTCCACTTCCGCGCGATCCTGGACTAATCGCTCACGCTGCTGGTTCAAGTCTTCAATGGCATTGTCAAGCTCTCCGCGAAGTCTGGATATCTCCTCACGTTCCTTGAACAACTTGTCACCATATATCATGCCGCCTTCGTCATGATCATCTTGGTGGGTGAGCGAGACAGCCTCTTTCTCTTCAAATTCATACGCTCCCGGTGCGTCTGGATGATACAAGGGGTGGAATTTGGATGTCTTAGGAATATGGTACTCTTTTTCACATCCCACAGCGCGAGCTAGTGAGAACTTGATGATACCTGTACGTGCAGTGATATGATCCGCAGGATCTTGGTGATCACTGTTCCATTTAGCCACTCGTGCAGCTTCTCCATTGATCCACGCGTCCTTGAGACTCTGAATGCGATTACCAAAGAGGTGCCAATCCGCAGGCTGAGAATGGCTGGCGTCAATGAATGTTGCAGTTTGTGTCACGACACCTCTCTTGCCTTGACTGTCATTTTGGGAGAGGTCAACGGTAATCGTCATAAATGTGTGAAGATTTGTAGAATGAGGCTCAAAGGTGAGCCATTCGTCATTGTCGACTGCAATGAAATGGAGGGCATTGGTAAACATTGTGACCTCGTTCAAGATCGGTCCACGATAAGCTCGGACATAAAAAGCGATGCTCTTCGCTGCAGCCATGAGTCTGGGCATCTGGCTCTTGATGGTCTGTGTTGTGAGGCTTGGGGCACAGAGGGCGAGACTTCGTCGACCAATGTATAAGGTGTCTTTGTCGGGGTTGAACCAGAATCCTTCATTTGGTCTGCCAGGTTGATAGCCGTGGAGGTTCCCGGCGGCATGGAATAGTTCATACTCGCTGCGGAGTGGCCCTACACAAAGGCTGCGTGCTTCTCTGTTCACATGGAACAATGCGGGGGCGCGACGAGTCACCTTCACAACACCTCTGACGACGTAGGGTTGAACAGCTCGGGGGCCAATGTCATCCATCGCCATTTCAAAGATAGCAAGTCGCATCTCAGGTGCAAGTTTAGGAAACAAGTGAAACTGTTTGAGATCCCGACCTGTGGTAGTGAAACCTCCCATGGCCGTATCTTCATCGACGTCATCGTCCTCAACGGCTAGTTGGGATTGTGTTAGCTTTTGAGGAAAGAGGTTCCTAACTCGAGGATTCTGGCTTTCATATTTGTCAATGATCTTCAAGATGTTTCGAACCAGGAGCAGGCGATACTGCTCAAATCTCGTGGTTCTGTCCGGGTCGATGTGGAGCAAGCGTAGGAACTTTTTGAACTCAGCCGTCTTCCAATGACTGTGGTTCTCATTGTTGAGTGGATTGGATGGTTGGCGATAGGAGTCTGCTGAGGCTGGCACATAACTGAAATCTAGGTATTGTGCAATGGCGACAAGAGCATCCTTGTGGGAGACCTTTGTAAGACGGAACAGAAGGCCATCATCGCTGGAGAACGCTGCGAGTTGAAGCTGGTCGCTGTTCCAACGTGCGTCAAGGCCACCCTTGAGTCTGCGAATGCCAGATAGTCGCTGGTAGATGTCGTTTGAGATGTGTGAGTCATCCATGCGGTGCCAAGTTGCCCATACATATTCACCATTCGGCTTAGTCATAGCTGCCGGTCTCGGTACGGAAGATGGCTTCGGGAAGGTAATTACCTCACTGGGGTCAGGTACGTAACCGGGGGCTTTAAGGATACAAATAGGATACACATCCGATTTCTTCCAGATGATGCAGGCGATGAGGGTATCTTTGTTGTAGGCACGGTTCTCGGTGTATCGTTCCGGCCGGTGTGCGCCAAGGTCCTTAATCATTGATTGTAGAACTCCAACGGTAAGTCTGGCAGAGCTGCCATTATTTGCGTCTGGATCTGACATAATGCCTATCTACAATAAGAACATTAGCAACCATGTGAGACAAAGCGAAAGAGGCAGATAAGAGAAATAGCAAGAAATGTAGGACCAAGGGCTTGAGGGTCGAGGAAAGCTGGAATAATAAAAAAGCGAATACAATGTACTTACAGGATGTGCTGATGGAATCAGGACAATATGTTGAACTTGAATGGTTCAAGTATGTGTTGCAGGTGTGGTTTAGCTGCGTGGCTGGATTGATATTCTGCATCGCGAGAACAGTTAGCAGAAAACCCCCCAGAAACCACCTTTGGGAATTATAAATGTTGCGCTATGGGTATACTTGTGCAAATAGCCAATGAAGACTTTGTTGAACCAAGTGGTAGCAAGGCTTTGGTGAACAGATGTACGTAAGATTACAGGGGTGAAAAGAGAGCGATGAAAATATTAACTTACCAAGGTGAATGTGGCTTCAAAACGCTTCTGCTACTACAAGCGGGTTTGTGTGTTGCTACAAATGGCGTCTGTTCTGCTGTACAAATGTCCAGTAAGCATCACTGTCTAGAATCTGGGGTCGCTGGCCCATCCCGTCCCGTCCTGTGTGCCATGTGGGTGTGGTGGTGAAAAGGATGTATGATGAAGAAGGATGTGTCACTCACCAGCTGGAGTTGTCTCAAATATTGGAGGTGAAAAGCCACCTTTGCGAAAGTCGCTGTCAGCAACGATGGGGAACCTTCAAAGTAGCTTGTAGTCAGTATTATTGAGTTCTCAAGCTTCTTACGAAAGAAACTTACCAATATCTGCTCAGCACATCAAAGATCTGATGTGGTTGTGATGATCAACAGCTGTAAGGAGCCAGTTGATGGAGTGGTAGGAGGTTGAAAGAGGAAGGTTTTCGTTGGGGGAGATTGGGTATCAAATACTTTGTGGACAGACAATATACCGTAAACCCTTTTGGGAAGGTTTAGCGGGCCTTTAGCGCCTATCGTTATCGTCTAGGTGACAACATAGTGACAAGATACGCAGATTGGTGGCCTGTGTGGTCCATGGGTCCTGGCGGTAATGAAGGTAGCATGAATGTGGAAAATCAGGGGAAAACGAGAATGCCCTACCAGTGGACAGGTGGTTCACTGATTGACCCCCCAACATGAAGGCCATCATAGCAACCAGCACCACCAACCCACCAACCCTTGTGATGCGCAACAAAATGGGATGTCAAAACATTGTTGTTGGGTTTGTAATGATGTGATATTCTACCATCTAAGGAAGTACGTCAAAAGATTGAGGGATAGCTAACCGAAGTTACCCCTTGTTCAAAACCTGGGGTGCATAATTATCCGACGTGTTGCCGGTAGGCAATCTGGGGGTATCATCCCTTCAACTCAACGTGGGGATATACCGGAGTTGTACCGGAAGCGAGAAAAGACAACGACATGTCAACATTGGAAGCAGTGGACATTATTGGAAATGGAAACATTATTGATAGAACTACCAATTGGTTGGTTGATGGTATAGAGCAAAGGAAATTTGTCGCACTTGGGGGTTAATGCTGCTTGAACTGTTGTTTTCATCGCGAATCAAGTGCTTCCCATAATCAGGTGCTTGATTTGAACTTCAGTTTACTCAATTGAGGAAACGATCTTGTTTCTTCGGGGATTCCATAAAAGAGTTATATACACTGCCATGGTTCTGAGGGTTGCTGTTTTGTTTGTGATGTGCAATCGGTCAGATATTCATATCTACTGGAATAGTCTACAACTTTCGAGTATACAATACTGTGATAGTCAGGAAGTGCCCCGAATATCAATTCTTCATCGGCGTGATGAAATCTGCAATGATTTCAGATGCCAAAGATTCTCCATAGTGTATCAGATGGGGTGCAGCCCATAGTACTTCGTAAACATTGGTCAGTGCTCAAGTCATTTTCAGCGAACATCGAGCACACACATCGCCTACGACAGGCACCAGACAGCTGTTGCCACGTGTCACCGAAGCCACTACGGTAAAGCACTACTACACCCTGCTCCCTATGACTCATGAGCATTGAGCTGCCCTATCAAAACGTAGAATCACACCTGCTGGTCTCTTTCGGCGAAGTTTTCGGGTAATATATCAAGTTTTACTGTTTCGGTTTCCAATATTTCGTCTTGAATATGCGACTTTTCTACATAGATCGAGCTAAAATTAGTGATGGACGGTCAAGACGGCACAGCAAAAGCAACTTTACTCTATGCCACTCTTCTTTCCACCGCTAGCAAGGATTCCATTGAACTATTGACCATAAGAAGCTCAGCTGGAGGACCTAAAAAGAGCCTTGTGACAGCAAGTGGCGTCATGCCATCCCTGCATGAGCAGAATTTTCAAAGTGCAATAGTTCGACCTCCGCAGAGCCTTCTGGAAAGGCGTGCCTAATTCACCTTGTCTATTCACCTTATCTGCTCAGCAGGAGAATTTTCTTTCACGCTCCACAATTCGATAATTCCCCTAACCTCCAATCTTTTGGGATTTGGGAACTGAGAAACACAAGCGAGGCAAAGATTGTGGCAAAGAGCGAGGTGCCTGCAGACATTGCATGCGTTTCCTTTTCATTCTTAGATCGCTACTCGACATTTAATTATGTGGGTCCTTTGGATTATACGTCTCACCACTATTCTTGCCAGTTCTTGTGTCCACCATGAGATTTCCATACGTTGGCATAGGCAAATCCACGTGATCGTGATGATAAGATGAATTGGCTACTCCGCAAGCAGCACAGTTACCTACCAAGCAAGCGGATAAAACGACCTGTAGTTTCTCGTCCGTGCGTTGTGCTCAAAATCATCAGACTATCATTGAAAGCGATGTGTAAATAAGTACGATTTCGATGAATCAACGATGATGATGGTGCACGGACCAAAAGACTTCAGGCAGGCACGTTATTAATGCTGCATCGACCAATGCTGCTCCAGGCTCCTGGTGAACAAGAAAAGTGGCAGAGAATTCCTCCATGCTATCGCGGGAAAAGACTACGTTTCCGTAGATACCTTCCTTGACTAAACAACAACCAACTGAAATAACTTGGAAAATTCCAGTAGAGTGTTTGGAGGATTTAAACACTTTGAATTATTTGCACACCAAAAACGCACGAATGACGGAAATTCCGGGGAATTCAAGCTTAATTCGCAACTGAGTATAGGTTCACAAACAGGAACTTCTGTCACTCTTCTTACCCTCTGGGAGCTACCTTTAGACAGACATACCATTCTCTGGAAGACCAAAATGGAGTGAAGTTATGTCTCTTGACTTTATGTTTAGTATCTTGACGTACTGCTTGATATTTACGTAAGAAGGTGTTGGAAGTCGGAAGTAGATTTCCTAGATATCACTATTCAGTCACCGGCTCAGATACCGAGAAGTGGATCTTGGTACTCTCTTCCATTGTACATAAACATATCTCTTCTGCACTTCTCCAATCTGTAGTCAATTGAGGAGTTACCAATCAATGAAAAGCTAGCAGATGGGATCCGGCAATATACTAAGTTAATCCAGAGGGACAACAGCGTAGCATGCTGCATCCTTTCATGGTCGATCGTCTCGTCTTTGGAATATAGAAGTCGGATTTTTCAAGTAGAATCTTTTCTTGGGGGCGGAATGTGGTCGATGTCGCTTAGCATGAACCTTGAGGTTCTCGTACAGTATGCTAACGCACCCATGTTATATAGGCCCTATACCTACTGAATGAAAGCTACCGAACAAACACAAAATATGTTCTAGCACTCTTCTTGCTTGCTCAGATACTTGCATCTCCCCACTTAATCTCTCTCCTCAGCCAACCATTTCCTACGATCCCAACCAAAGAACCCCGCTCCACCAAGCTTCCAAACCCCCGTAAGTTAAGCAACTTTCATTCTCCCCAGTGACAACTCCACAAAACATCAACCTTTCCATCACCACACCCTAACTAACACCTACTCTTCATTCCTCTTCAGAATCCCCACAAATCTCCAAATCCATAAAACCACCCCACCCTCGGCACGATCCGTGGATTTAGGCACGACCAACCCATTTATCCACATTTAGCCGATACGCACCTCGTCAAGTACTTCTCCACCGCCACGGCAAGATCGAACTTGGGTACTAAGCCTCATAGCGGGTGGATGAGCGTGGATTTTTGTGGATTGGTAGACGCGTTTGTACCCCTCAATTTTCTTCTGAGGTGGGGGAGGGGTGGTCAAGGACAGGGGTGAGATCTTGGGGACGGGTCGGGAATGGATGGGGTATACGATGGGGATGTTTTCTTATCGCTTTTTTCTTTCACCCGGTTAGTTGGGTGGTGCACTTGGGGGCTTTGGGGCTCGTTGGGGGGAGGTTTTGTGAGGATAAAACTCCCTCGATGACAGTCTCTAGTTATATCACTACTTTACAAACTCATTTCATCTCCGCCAAGGGAAAAGCACAAGAAGCAGATGAAGGTCCGTTTATATCTTTGAACGCATGTTCCCACGGTAGCTGGTTTTCTTGAGTAACCTGGAAATCCTCGAAAACCTTCTATAGCATCTTGAGTACACTCCACAAGCTATCATTTTCCAATTTTTTCATCTCCGTCATACAAATCTCCAGAACAATCTCCAGAGTCCAGTACCAATTTATGACTCGGTTTTGTCATGTACTCGGAGATGGGTACTATTCAGTATATCAAAGTTTGGTAACTTTCATAGCATAGCTCTTATCGACCATATATTACAACAAGCTTTCCAATCCCAAAGCCTAGATTACTATAAACCTCCAAGAATGTCTCCTTCATCTCGCCAATTGAATTATCCGTAGAATCCAGGTCCTTTACCTGCACCACGGCCATACAAAAGCATCATTTTCATCATTCCCCTCATTTGTCTAAATCAAAAACAAAGACCAAACACCCACAAACCAACGCAATACCTACAAAGACACCTTCCCAAACTATACTTTCATCGCCAACATGTAATAAGCACCAATAAAAAGCAACTCACAGCCCAAAATGAGCCTTCGTCCTCGACTCATACCCGAATGCCCAGGCCCGTTCGCTTATTTCTTATAAATACCACATGTATACCTTTGAACCCACGTAATTCCTACTCCCATTTCTTTCAGCCCTGATTTCAGCATTATTCTTAGATACTCAGGTAGTTCTTGAAATTTTAACGGCCTCAAAACGTACTTCATAACTTTCCTGCCATCGGGTTATGCTGAATATATCATAAACAATTTTGGCAAGCATAAATTCCCTAAGAGAGGATCAATATCTCATATTTTGATTGCTGAGTATATATAAATGTTGTGCTGGGTCTACTTTCTCTTTTGCTCCACTTCCTGATTTGATCCACTTATAGCTCTGCTGCCTAAATGCTTCATGTCTGCCTAAAGCTTACACTCTTTATATAAACACCTTAGATAGCTACCTTTTACAATGGAATCAATTCTCCATGACCTTCAGTACCCAATACCCTTTCAACCCAATAATAAAGTATAGATATATCCATTATTACTAAGTATAGGAAACGAATAAGTACAGAACATGGTAACAATCAATTGTGTTCCGAGCTAAACCAGTTGAACCATTCGAGTATCTTTGGGATTCGAAGAAGTGTGTCTACTGTACGGTATATCGCAGCATTTTACTCAACGAGAAAAGAGCGAAAGAAAAATTCCATATAAGAAGAACGTTCAAAAAATACAAGGTCCACCCAACCCGGAGTTCGTTTATGCACCTACATATATGTAAGTACCCCGCATTCACATTACCCGCCCAATCCCACCGACCTCCCCCAAACCTTGGACCCCTCCCTGCACTCCTGCATCTGCATCCCCATAACCCCTCCACACTCTAACTCTATCTCTCCCCATTTACCCATCCCTCATCCATTCCACCTCCCCTTCCCTGACTATAACCACCCCACCACCCACTTCCCCAAATGCAACCACCCACCATCCCCCACCACCATGCAACTCACCCACCTCCTCCCACTCCTCATAGTGGTGAACGCACAACTAAATACCTTAGCTCAAAAGGCAGGACTCAAATACTTCGGCAGCGCAAGTGATATCGTGGATGTAGACGCGTTGGATGGGACGTATGCTAGTATATTAAGTGATCGACGGGAGTTTGGGGCGGTTACGCCGGCGAATGGGATGAAGGTTTGTTTTTTAATTTTGTTATTTCTTTATTTTCTGCTATTTTTTGTGCGAGGGATAGGGTGTGAGGGGTTCGAGGTGATGGTAGAAGTAGAACGAGATAGCGGAGAATGGAGAAGCGTGCTAATATAAATACCACAGTGGTTCGCAATCGAACCCTCACCCGGAGTCTTCAACTTCTCCTACGGCGATGTAGTAGCAGACTACGCCGCTCGAAATAAACAGTACCTACGCTGCCATACTCTAGTTTGGCATTCACAACTTCCTCCTTGGGGTATATCCCTTTCCCTTCCCTTCCCTTTCCATACCCTCATCCTTTCATTTCGTCCCAAAGTTCAGATGAAGTACGAACTAACCACCCAAAAAAGTCGAAAACACAAACTGGACAAAGCAAACCCTCACCGCCGTCATCGTTCGACACATCACCCACACAGTAACACATTACAAAAACCGCTGTTACGCTTGGGATGTAGTAAATGAAGCGTTGAATGAAGATGGGACATTTAGGAATTCAACGTTTTATAACATTCTTGGTTCTTCATTCCGTATGCCCCTTTTCCTTTCCCCTCTCATCCCCTCTCATCCCCTCTCATCCCCCCCAAAATCCCTTCCCATCACACCCCCATTCTTAACACACCCCCTCCCCAGTATCCCTAGCCTTCCGTACCGCCCACGCCGCCGATCCTCGAGCAAAACTCTACTACAACGACTACAACCTCGAGAAACCCTCTCCCAAATCCCACGCAGTAATCAACAAGATTGTGAAACCGCTGTTAAGAGCTGGTGTCCCGATTTACGGCGTGGGGATGCAGGCGCATCTCAAGGGCTATAATAGACCGAGTAGGGGGGAGATGGTGGATGTTATGAGGGCGTATGGGGGGTTGGGGGTGGAGGTTGGGGTTACTGAGTTAGTTAATTTTTCATTTTTTTGGGGTTGGTGGTGTTTTTTTGTTTGTGGGAGGTTTGGAGAGGAGAGAGATGATGTGCAGAGAGACCGTTACCTGAATATGTTTTCAAGCCGCTCACCCCACCCCACCACACCATCATCCCTCTCTCCCCCCTC